TGTCTTGATTGTTGTTGTATTGTTGTTGTATTGTTGTAAGTGTCGGACCCCAGGAAGAGTAGCTTTTGTCAAGAGCAAAAGCTACTGGGGATCCTAAATAAACATAAACATGAACAAAGACACTGTGTAAAGAATATAAGATATTAGCTCAGAGGGACACGGATCCTGGACAGAAGAGTAAACTACGTATCCCAACGTGCATTGCGGCATCAAACATCCAATCACAGAGCTTCAACACGCAGAGAGGCCGCTTCATGTTGATTAAAGTTTATAGGGTTTCATTTTTGGACTCCGGATCATTGTTGTTCCATGAAAACAGCCTGGAGTCTGATTAATGCACAAAAACAAGGTGGTGACGTGAAGTCATGTGACCGTGCTGTAGTTCCTTTATAGCCCAACATTAGCCTTTAGCTTAGCGGTGGTGACGTGAAGTCATGTGACCGTGCTGTAGTTCCTTTATAGCCCAACATTAGCCACCTTTAGCTTAGCGGTGGTGACGTGAAGTCATGTGACCGTGCTGTAGTTCCTTTATAGCCCAACATTAGCTTCCTTTAGCTTAGCGGTGGTGACGTGAAGTCATGTGACCGTGCTGTAGTTCCTTTATAGCCCAACATTAGCCACCTTTAGCTTAGCGGTGGTGACGTGAAGTCATGTGACCGTGCTGTAGTTCCTTTATAGCCCAACATTAGCCTTTAGCTTAGCGGTGGTGACGTGAAGTCATGTGACCATGCTGTAGTTCCTTTATAGCCCAACATTAGCCTTTAGCTTAGCGGTGGTGACGTGAAGTCATGTGACCGTGCTGTAGTTCCTTTATAGCCCAACATTAGCCTTTAGCTTAGCGGTGGTGACGTGAAGTCATGTGACCGTGCTGTAGTTCCTTTATAGCCCAACATTAGCCACCTTTAGCTTAGCGGTGGTGACGTGAAGTCATGTGACCGTGCTGTAGTTCCTTTATAGCCCAACATTAGCCTTTAGCTTAGCGGTGGTGACGTGAAGTCATGTGACCGTGCTGTAGTTCCTTTATAGCACAACATTAGCCACCTTTAGCTTAGCGGTGGTGACGTGAAGTCATGTGACCGTGCTGTAGTTCCTTTATAGCCCAACATTAGCCTTTAGCTTAGCGGTGGTGACGTGAAGTCATGTGAACGTGCTGTAGTTCCTTTATAGCCCAACATTAGCCACCTTTAGCTTAGCGGTGGTGACGTGAAGTCATGTGACCGAGCTGTAGTTCCTTTATAGCCCATCATTAGCCACCTTTAGCTTAGCGGTGGTGACGTGAAGTCATGTGACCGTGCTGTAGTTCCTTTATAGCACAACATTAGCCACCTTTAGCTTAGCGGTGGTGACGTGAAGTCATGTGACCGTGCTGTAGTTCCTCTATAGCCCAACATTAGCCTTTAGCTTAGCGGTGGTGACGTGAAGTCATGTGACCGTGCTGTAGTTCCTTTATAGCCCAACATTAGCCGCCTTTAGCTTAGCGGTGGTGACGTGAAGTCATGTGACCGTGCTGTAGTTCCTTTATAGCCCAACATTAGCCGCCTTTAGCTTAGCGGTGGTGACGTGAAGTCATGTGACCGAGCTGTAGTTCCTTTATAGCCCATCATTAGCCACCTTTAGCTTAGCGGTGGTGACGTGAAGTCATGTGACCGAGCTGTAGTTCCTTTATAGCCCATCATTAGCCACCTTTAGCTTAGCGGTGGTGACGTGAAGTCATGTGACCGAGCTGTAGTTCCTTTATAGCCCATCATTAGCCACCTTTAGCTTAGCGGTGGTGACGTGAAGTCATGTGACCGTGCTGTAGTTCCTTTATAGCCCAACATTAGCCACCTTTAGCTTAGCGGTGGTGACGTGAAGTCATGTGACCGAGCTGTAGTTCCTTTATAGCCCATCATTAGCCACCTTTAGCTTAGCGGTGGTGACGTTAAGTCATGTGACCGTGCTGTAGTTCCTTTATAGCACAACATTAGCCACCTTTAGCTTAGCGGTGGTGACGTGAAGTCATGTGACCGTGCTGTAATTCCTTTATAGCCCAACATTAGCCTCCTTTAGCTTAGCGGTGGTGACGTGAAGTCATGTGACCGAGCTGTAGTTCCTTTATAGCCCATCATTAGCCTCCTTTAGCTTAGCGGTGGTGACGTGAAGTCATGTGACCGTGCTGTAGTTCCTTTATAGCCCAACATTAGCCTTTAGCTTAGCGGTGGTGACGTGAAGTCATGTGACAGTGCTGTAGTTTCTTTATAGCACAACATTAGCCACCTTTAGCTTAGCGGTGGTGACGTGAAGTCATGTGACCGTGCTGTAGTTCCTTTATAGCCCAACATTAGCCTTTAGCTTAGCGGTGGTGACGTGAAGTCATGTGACCGTGCTGTAGTTCCTCTATAGCCCATCATTAGCCTCCTTTAGCTTAGCGGTGGTGACGTGAAGTCATGTGACCGTGCTGTAGTTCCTTTATAGCACAACATTAGCCTTTAGCTTAGCGGTGGTGACGTGAAGTAATGTGACCGTGCTGTAGTTCCTCTATAGCCCAACATTAGCCACCTTTAGCTTAGCGGTGGTGACGTGAAGTCATGTGACCGTGCTGTAGTTCCTTTATAGCACAACATTAGCCACCTTTAGCTTAGCGGTGGTGACGTGAAGTCATGTGACCGTGCTGTAGTTCCTTTATAGCCCAACATTAGCCACCTTTAGCTTTGCGGTGGTGACGTGAAGTCATGTGACCGTGCTGTAGTTCCTTTATAGCACAACATTAGCCACCTTTAGCTTAGCGGTGGTGACGTGAAGTCATGTGACCGTGCTGTAATTCCTTTATAGCCCAACATTAGCCTTTAGCTTAGCGGTGGTGACGTGAAGTCATGTGACCGTGCTGTAGTTCCTCTATAGCCCATCATTAGCCTCCTTTAGCTTAGCGGTGGTGACGTGAAGTCATGTGACCGTGCTGTAGTTCCTTTATAGCACAACATTAGCCTTTAGCTTAGCGGTGGTGACGTGAAGTCATGTGACCGTGCTGTAGTTCCTCTATAGCCCAACATTAGCCACCTTTAGCTTAGCGGTGGTGACGTGAAGTCATGTGACCGTGCTGTAGTTCCTTTATAGCACAACATTAGCCACCTTTAGCTTAGCGGTGGTGACGTGAAGTCATGTGACCGTGCTGTAGTTCCTTTATAGCCCAACATTAGCCACCTTTAGCTTTGCGGTTGTGACGTGAAGTCATGTGACCGTGCTGTAGTTCCTTTATAGCACAACATTAGCCACCTTTAGCTTAGCGGTGGTGACGTGAAGTCATGTGACCGTGCTGTAGTTCCTTTATAGCCCAACATTAGCCTCCTTTAGCTTAGCGGTGGTGACGTGAAGTCATGTGACCGTGCTGTAGTTCCTTTATAGCCCATCATTAGCCTCCTTTAGCTTAGCGGTGGTGACGTGAAGTCATGTGACCGTGCTGTAATTCCTTTATAGCCCATCATTAGCCTCCTTTAGCTTAGCGGTGGTGACGTGAAGTCATGTGACCGTGCTGTAGTTCCTTTATAGCACATCATTAGCCACCTTTAGCTTAGCGGTGGTGACGTGAAGTCATGTGACCGTGCTGTAGTTCCTTTATAGTCCAACATTAGCCTCCTTTAGCTTAGCGGTGGTGACGTGAAGTCATGTGACCGTGCTGTAGTTCCTTTATAGCCCAACATTAGCCTCCTTTAGCTTAGCGGTGGTGACGTGAAGTCTAGTGACCTTGCTGTAGTTCCTTTATAGCCCAACATTAGCCACCTTTAGCTTAGCGGTGGTGACGTGAAGTCATGTGACCATGCTGTAGTTCCTTTATAGCCCAACATTAGCCTTTAGCTTAGCGTTGGTGCAGTGAAGTCATGTGACCGTGCTGTAGTTCCTTTATAGCCCAACATTAGCCTCCTTTAGCTTAGCGGTGGTGACGTGAAGTCATGTGACCGTGCTGTAGTTCCTTTATAGCCGAACATTAGCTTCCTTTAGCTTAGCGGTGGTGAGGTGAAGTCATGTGACCGTGCTGTAGTTCCTCTATAGCCGAACATTAGCCTTTAGCTTAGCGGTGGTGACGTGAAGTCATGTGACCGTGCTGTAGTTCCTTTATAGCACAACATTAGCCACCTTTAGCTTAGCGGTGGTGACGTGAAGTCATGTGACCGTGCTGTAGTTCCTCTATAGCCCAACATTAGTCTCCTTTAGCTTAGCGGTGGTGACGTGAAGTCATGTGACCGTGCTGTAGTTCCTATATAGCCCAACATTAGCCTCCTTTAGCTTAGCGGTGGTGACGTGAAGTCATGTGACCGTGCTGTAGTTCCTCTATAGCCCAACGTTAGCTTTTTACCTCAGAAATCACAGAGTGGTGTTAATATGTGGAGATTATCCTGCTGCTCATAAACGTTTGTTTGACACAGAGATTATTTTCTGACATAATCCAAAATCACATGGATGAATCTCATTGGACCAGAGAGATGCTGCCTTCAGGAACCAACACAGTTCAATACCAGCATCTCTGCAGCTCTGTTTTAATCTGCCTTTTATTAATCTATAAAAGGTCAGAATATATTGAAGGATGTCTCTGAGTCCAATGGGAAGTTTCTCGGTGGTATTTACTGATCGTCAGTCCTCACATACAGAGCTGAATCCAGATCAGATGCACGCTGAAGGCTCTTTGAGCATCTCTCACTGATCCTGCTGTGATGTTCCATGTTTGTTGTTTGTTTCTCATGCGTCTTGATGTTTGTCTGTTGATGTTACACATGGAGCTGCTGTGATGCAAGGAGCATTTCAGACTGGATCTGACCAGTAAAGTATTATGGTATCGTATGGTATCATCGGCTCGGCTTCCTGTATCATCCCTGCAGCTCTTATTAACCGTTAGAATATATTGAAGAATGTCCCGGTTTCTGTGAGTCCAATGGGAAGTTTCTCACTGACCGTCAGTCCGAGCTGCTTCATCAGTAGTCATTACAATGTGAGAATATATTGAAGGCACATCATCACAGTTCCCTGCTTCACCGGCTGATCTTCCTGCAGCGCAGCAGGCGGAGGAAGGTGTTCCTGAAGGCCACGTTGCAGAAAGCGTAGCAGCCCGGGTTGACGGCGCTGTTGATGTAGCAGAGCCAGTACCCCCCCGTCCAGAGGAAGCCCGGCACACACGAGTGGCAGAAGGCGGCGACCACCGCCATCACGTTGTACGGCGTCCAGGTGACGATGAAGGCCATCAGGATGCAGAGGATGGTCTTCGTCACCCTCCTCTCCCTCGCCGCGACCCTCTGAAGCCGCCGCTCCTGAGACCTGCGATGGAAAACGGTATCATAAGTGTTCGGAAAATAGTGAATGTACTCTTCCAATATGAGAGCAACATGATAACAAAGGTATCCCAACTGTAGCTGTGAACATGACAGGATGTATGATTACCTAGAAGAGCATCAGGACTGTTTTAGGCATATGATAGCTATGTGATTAACATGATGATTCAGCCTCTATGGAGATATATGACAAGCATGATCATTTCTGACGTGGAGCTAATTAATAATTTTTCTAAAATGAATAATTTTTCTAAAAATGAATAATTTTTCTAAAAATGAATAATTTTTCTAAAAATGAATAATTTTTCTAAAAATGAATAATTTTTCTAAAAATGAATAATTTTTCTAAAAATGAATAATTTGAAAAATTCTGACTTTTTCTAAAAAAATCTGACTTTTTCAAAAAAAATATGACTTTTTCTCAAAATTCTGACTTTTTCTCAAAATCTCAAAATTCTGACTTTTTTTAGAAAAATCTGACTTTTCTCAAAATTCTGACTTTTTAGAATTTTCTATTTAGAAAAATGAATAATTTTTCTAAACATTTATAATTTTTCTAAAAATTTATAATTTTTCTAAACATTTATAATTTTTCTAAAATTTATAATTTTTCTAAACATTTATAATTTTGCTAAACATTTATAATTTTTCTAAAAATTTATAATTTTTCTAAACATTTATAATTTTTCTAAAAAGTCAGAATTTTTAGAAAAAGTCAGAATTTTTGGAACAATTCTGATTTTGGAGATTTTGGAGAACAAGTCAGATATCGGAGAAAAAGTCAGAATTTTGAGAAAAGTCAGATTTTTATAAAAAAAGTCATAATTTTGAGATTTTGAGAAAAAGTCATATTTTTTTTGAAAAAGTCATCTTTTAGAAAAAGTCATATTTTTTTTGAAAAAGTCCGAATTTTGAGAAAAAAGCCAACATTTATGAAAGAAAACTCAGTATTTTGTACATGACAGGATGTGTGATTACCTAGAAGAGCATCAGGACTGTTTGAGGCATATGATAGCTATGTGATTAACATGATGATTCAGCCTCTATGGAGATAGACATATGACAAGCATGCTCATTTCTGACGTGGAGCTAATCTGAAGTAAACATTGAATACTGCTTTCTATTCCTCCATCTTGTGACTGTGTAACTCCCTCTCTTGGATATCAGCATGTGAAGGACACTGTTCAGGAACTAGTTGATGCTCTGTATGTGATGACTCCTTCCATTCTGGAGAGGATCACAAGTACATGGATCCTGAGATTGAAGCTCAAGCCGGAGACCAGTGATTATTAACATTTTAAGTGTTCAGAAAAATACAGAATTTTGAGATTTTGAGAAAAAGTCATAATTTTGAGATTTGAGAAAAAGTCATATTTTTTTTGAAAAAGTCATCTTTTAGAAAAAGTCATATGTTTTTGAAAAAGTCCGAATTTTGAGAAAAAAGCCAACATTTATGAAAGAAAACTCAGTATTTTGTACATGACAGGATGTGTGATTACCTAGAAGAGCATCAGGACTGTTTGAGGCATATGATAGCTATGTGATTAACATGATGATTCAGCCTCTATGGAGATAGACATATGACAAGCATGCTCATTTCTGACGTGGAGCTAATCTGAAGTAAACATTGAATACTGCTTTCTATTCCTCCATCTTGTGACTGTGTAACTCCCTCTCTTGGATATCAGCATGTGAAGGACACTGTTCAGGAACTAGTTGATGCTCTGTATGTGATGACTCCTTCCATTCTGGAGAGGATCACAAGTACATGGATCCTGAGATTGAAGCTCAAGCCGGAGACCAGTGATTATTAACATTTTAAGTGTTCAGAAAAATACAGAATTTTGAGATTTTGAGAAAAAGTCATAATTTTGAGATTTTGAGAAAAAGTCATATTTTTTTTGAAAAAGTCATCTTTTAGAAAAAGTCATATTTTTTTTGAAAAAGTCCGAATTTTGAGAAAAAAGCCAACATTTATGAAAGAAAACTCAGTATTTTGTACATGACAGGATGTGTGATTACCTAGAAGAGCATCAGGACTGTTTGAGGCATATGATAGCTATGTGATTAACATGATGATTCAGCCTCTATGGAGATAGACATATGACAAGCATGCTCATTTCTGACGTGGAGCTAATCTGAAGTAAACATTGAATACTGCTTTCTATTCCTCCATCTTGTGACTGTGTAACTCCCTCTCTTGGATATCAGCATGTGAAGGACACTGTTCAGGAACTACTTTTACTTCTTCCATGTTGAACACAAATACCTGAACTTTCTACTTCTTACATTTTCCAAACAGGCTGGTTCCTTTAGTTTGAATCTGTGCTTCATTACATTTATACGAGCACATATCAGACATGGAACAGTGAATACTGAACATTAGGGTGAAGTGTCTCGCCCAAGGACACAAAGTTATGGGTACTTTTTACTTCAGTACATTTCAAAGCCCGTACTTCTTTACTTTTACTTGAGTAAAGAAGTTTAGTGAATACTTCTACTTTCACCAGAGTATTTTTAAACAGGAGTATCTTCTACTTGAGTAAAGGATGTGTGTCCTCTTGCCCTCTGTGCTGGTTTGTCTCAGTGACTTTCCCCCACAGACCTGAAGCTGCTGAAGGTGGAGAACGTCGTCTTGTTGGCATCTGCGTTGGACGAAGAGTCCGTCTCAATCTTGTTGGAGTCTTCGATACGAGTGTCCGCCGCAGGACTCCTGGACGTCTTCCTGCTCCTCCCAGACTTGGGCGTGCTGCTCTCTGATTGGTTCAGAGACACGTCGGAGGCGGGCTCTCTGCTCACCACGCTGCGGCGCCGCTTCAACAGGAAGTCCTTGATCGAGGGGCTGGAGGTCGCCGGGCGAACGTTCAATCTGCCACGACTCGCCACCGAGAGACGGCTGTACGAGGAGAGGAGATGAGGTAAGGTAAGGTGAGGTAAGGTAAGGTGAGGTGAGGTGAGGTAAGGTAAGGTTAGGTAAGGTGAGGTGAGGTGAGGTGAGGAGAGCGGTGAGTGGGTGAGGTGAGGTGAGGTGAGGTGAGGTGATGTGAGGTGAGGTGAGGTGAGGTGAGGTGAGGTGGGGTGAGGTGAGGTGAGGTGAGGTGAGGTAAGGTGTGTCTGTCTGTGTGTGTGTGTGTGTCTGTGTGTGTGTGTGTGTGTCTGTGTGTGTGTGTGTGTGTGTGTAGTCTGTGTGTGTGTCTGTGTGTGTGTCTGTGTGTGTGTGTGTGTGTGTGTGCGTGTGTGTGTGTGTGTGTGTGTGTGTGTCTGTGTGTGTGTGTGTGGTGTGTGTGTGTGCGTGTGTGTGTGTGTTGTGTGTGTCTGTGTGTGTCTGTGTGTGCGTGTGTTGTGTGTGTGTGTTGGTGTGTGTGTGTGTGTGTGTGTGTGTGCGTGTGTGTGTGTGTGTGTGTGTGTGTGTGTGTGTGTGTGTGTGTGTGTGTCTCACCTGTAGAGGGCCACCATGGTGAGGGCGGGCAGGAAGAAGGAGGGCAGCGTGGTGGCGAGCGTGGCGGCGGGGCTGGAGATCAGCTGCAGGAAGCACTCTCCGTCCGGGACCAGACGTTCCCCCCCGCTGCTCTGCCAGCTCAGGATGGAGGGGGTCCAGAGCAGGAAAGGGAGGAGCCAGGCACAGCCAATCATGAGCCTCGCTGTGTTAGCACTGCGGCGCCGCGGATAGCTGAGCGGCCGCCACACACACAGGAAGCGGTCCAGGCTGATGAGCAGCAGGTGCAGCACCGAGGAGCCGCTCACCCCGTGGTCCAGGACCAGGAAGAGGTCGCAGGATGCGGGGCCCAGCGGCCAGCGGCCAATCAGCACGTAGCTATGGACACAAATGACAACAAAAGCCTTGAATCCTTAAGCTTCAGTGTAGAAATGTCTCCAACAGAACATAACAGCTGAGCACCGTACAGAGAGAACAGGCTGACGGACAGCAGCCCCACCAGCAGGTCAGCCACCGCCAGGCTCAACAGGAAGTAGTTGTTGACGCTGCGCAGGCGAGGGTTCACCTTCACCGACAGGATGACCAGCGCGTTGCCCGTCACCGTGATGACGCTCAGGGAGGCAGTCGCCACGGCGATGAGGACCAGCTGGGCGGTGCTGTAGGGCCAGGAGGACGCTCTGATTGGATGATAGGAGGAGGCGTTCACGCAGGATCGGAGCCACAGGGAGGCGTTCAGGTCCTCTCCCATGATCCCTGGAAAAACACACAGATGCAGGTGCATTGTGGGTAATGTAGGCGGCAGGTTTTAACGATAAGAAGAACGCCTCTGGTTTTTGAAAGCATTTAAATAACTTTATTTAAAACTCTAAACTTTGTACAGGAAACACAAAGGAGAAAGAACAGTCCCTGCTCGCAAAGTGAGCGACAACCATGAAAACACACACAGACACACGAAACACACGAAACACACGAAACACACACGAAACACACAAAACACACACGAAACACACACAAAACACACAAAACACACACAAAACACACACAACACACAACACAAACAAAACACAAAAAACACAAAAAACAAACAAAAACACAAAAAAACACACACAAAACACACACGAAACACACAAAACACACACAAAACACACACACACAAACACACACAAAACACACACACAAACACACAAAACACAACACACAAACACACACAAACACACAAAACACACACACACCACACAAAACACACACACACACCACAAACACACACACAACACACACAAAACACACACAACACACACACACACACACACACACACACCACACACCACACACACACACACACACACACACACACACAACACACACACACACACACACACACACAAGGGAAAACAATGGCAACATGGCACACGCGCACATTGTGTGACGTGGGCGCACTTTGAAGCTCACATTTGGAGCCCTGAACATATATGAAAACTCACCAAGTGTTGCACGCACGTCAGGACGGGTGAACATAAACGTGAGAAATGGGTTCCGGAACTTTGCGTAAAAAATGGCAAGCCACGCCCACTTTCGTTTTTAACATAAACTCCCCCCACTTTGACGTTCACGTAAACGAACGAAAATCGCTACGTATATCAAGGGTGCGGAGACAAACTAAAAAGCCACTTGGAGGTGTGTAAAAAAACGTACAGGAAGTCGGCTATTTTTTATTTGGCATTGGAAAAACGCAATTTATTTATATTTATCCTCCGAGGGATTTTATCCGATCGACTCCAAATTCGTCAGGTCGCGTCTCGAGACCTGGGGGATGAAAAGTTATACAAATCTAAACTTTTCACCGCACGACGTAGCCGTGATGCTAACAGTCCAGCCCTGAAGACATCTACGTGTCAGTTTTGAGATTTCGTCAAATGCCGTTGCCATGGCAACACAATGCTCGCCATGAAACACGGTTCTCTCATAACTTCAGTGGAAATGCTCCAAACGGCCCAAAATGTCACATGTTTGGTAACGATACAGCCATCAACACATCTAGGCGTATTATGGGGTGTCATCATAAGCCGTTGCCGTGGCGACAGATCACTCGCCATCAAACACGAAGTTGCTGTAACTCCTTTAGACATTGTCTGATCGGCAGGAAACTTCCCACGTTAGCCAACGGTCGACTCTGCGTGACGTCAACGTGCCGCTCATCGCTGCTCGTAGCTTTAATTATCATTATTTTTCATTAAATAAATAAAATAACTCAAACTAATTTACGACACAACAGATGTTTTTCTCTCAAGTTTAATAGAAAGTAATATATCCTGCAGGCTTCAGATTGAATTGAAACAGAATAAAAATAAACAATTGATGTGGCTGTTGTTCCCAGGGCGAGCACCAGAGGGCGCCACACCCCACCATATTAAGAGAATGCCTGCAGAGCATCGTGTGCAGTGCATGATGCACATCAGGAGAGCTACGTCATTTATTCCATTATTTCATTCATGCTTTCAATGTCTTTTCTTCAGCTATTTATTAATTTAATATTATTCTCCTAACCGCTTTCCTTTGAAACATTTAAGTCAATTATGAGCTATAACTATAAGCACAAACACATCAGATAAGCTCACCAAAAGTACCTTCTGTGAGGTGCTGCTCCTCCTGAGGCTCCTGCAGTCTGAGCTCTCCTCGACTCCTCGGGTTTATATGTGTGTGTGCGTGGTGTGTGGTGTGTGGGTGTGGGTGTGTGCGTGTGTGTATGGTGTGTGTGTGGTGTGTGTGTGGTGTGGCGTGTGTGTGCGTGTGCGTTGAGTGTGTGTGTGTGTGTGTGTGTGTGGGTGTGTGTGTGGGTGTGTGTGTGTGTGGTGTGTGTGTGTGTTGTGTGTGTGTGTGTGTGTGTGTGTGTGTGTGTGTGCGTGTATGTGTGTGTGATGGGGGGGGCTCCATGTGGGACGTAATGCCACTTTATGACTCTGAGAATAGACCGACTGCTTCCTGTCATTAATAAAAGTGACTCCATCAGCCACAGCTCTCCCCCCCCCCCCTTTCTTCTCCAGCAGTTAAGTTAACTGTAGGTTTGCATTTTAAATATATTCTTTTCTTTTGTGGGGTCTGCCCCCAAAAAACAGTTTTAAGTCCTGAGAAAGTCAAATCAGACGGTGTGTAAAACTACACTGCCCAGCCAACAGAAAGGAACCACTTTGATTGAACTAGGCCAGTAGGTAAGGGCTTTCCACTGGATAATAACTGAAGTATAAAAGAATGCATGACTGAAGTGATGGAGACCATGTTTGAAGGCAAACAAAAAGAGGAAATAACAGGTCAAATCAAACCCCTCTCAGATTCCACAGCAACCAGAAGAACATAAATACTGGCTGGTGATTTGATGAATCAGCTTTGTGATGGAATAGAAAATGCACAGTGCATTTCCTTAGCTGTGGATGAGTCCACTGACACCACTGACAATGCTCAGTTGCTGGTGTTTGTGAGTTTTGATGATGAGGCAAAGGGGGAGTTTGTTGAAGATGTGTTGGGCCTGACGAACCTCAGTGGACACACAAGGGGGCAAGACATTTATAAAGCAATAATGGGAATGCTGAATGAAAGAGGGTGCAGCTGCCTTTACTCATAACTGTGCAGCTCTCACACTGCGACTCTGAGGGATCAAGCACAGACACAAGAACAATGGAAACTGCTGCAGACAGAGACTTTTTGTTTTTGCAACCTCGTGTTAAGAATCTTGTTGCAATTGTTTAAAAGTTTGAATGACCGTAATAAACTGACCTTTGTCTTATTGAAACATTTCTTTGGACCTTTAAAGGGCCCATGTCATGGCCATTTCCACTGATCATAATTACATTGTTGAGGTATACTAAAATAGATTTATACTGTGCAATTTTCCAAACTCACATTGGTTTCGCATACAGCATCTCTGTCAAGCATGTGTATTCAGCAGTATTCACTTTCTCCACTAAACGACTCGTTGGAGCTCTTGCCCCCCCCTCCCTGTGAGCCTAGTGTGCTCCGATTGGTCAGCTCGGCCACTCGTTCTGATTAGTCAACCACCAGAGAGGCTGCGCCCATGTCAGTGCTTTTCCCGGCTGCTCTCAGCGTAACATCAGTCTTATCATGGCGTCGGTACAAGCCGTATATTTTATATACATATATATTTTTAACTGTTGTTATAGAAGAGTGTGACGGCCCCAGGGCCTTTGTCTTACGATGGGGTGGAGCTGAAGAGGCTAATCAGCACGATCACGGACACCTCCGGACACTACGGACACAGTCTCTCTCCAAAGCGGCTGCAGGAAGACTAACTCTGCGATCCTCTCAACCACCTGTCTCTGCATTTACCACAATAAATGTGCCGTGGTTTTGTAAACTCGTGTATGTCTCCTTGTCTTCGTTGTGGCCTACGAGCTACGCTCATAACAAAGAGTAAGTTATTTTTACCCGTTATAAACTACTACTGTTTGATGAGAAATCAAATCATGGTTTGCTATATATGAATTCAGGGAAGAAAGGATAGGCCTACTAAGTATTTCCATTAAACTTTATTTTTAGAAATGTACAAAATGAACATAAATATACATATATACACGGCAGTGGCGACCGGTGGTCTTTTTTTTGGTGGGGCTCTTGACGTACCGTAAGTGACCTACCCGGGGGGTCCGGGGGGTTTCCCCCCGGAAATTTTTTTCGAGAAATGACCCCTTAAATGATGACTTCTGGTGATGTTAGAGGGGGGGGGGAAAGGAGAAATCGAGGCTTAAAAATATGAGAAGACTGATCAATACCTCCATAATCTTCAGTGTGGAAAATATTATTTATCAACCTGAACATCTACTACTTTACCAGGAATTTGTGTTCTCAGAACTGGTCTGTTTTTTTTCTTTCTTAAAACTGTTCATGTTTTATGAACCAACACCTCACCAAGTAGCTTTACAGTGAACTGCATGTGAGATATAAAATTAATAGCATCTTTTCAGTAGCATTAATTATAAATATTTAAGTGGTTCAATACAAGTCACTACAGCATTTCAAACTGAACTGTGAATAAATGCAATTTAAAAAAAATAACCACAGCACAAAATGTCATAAATTGTGTTTTTTCTTTGTTTCTCTGAGGATTATTTACAAACAGGCTTATTTACATATAGCAATAACTCAGAAATGAAAAAGCTACATCGTCTAACACGAACAACCAGTAGCATAATGATAATATATGTGTTATGTACAATGTAACTGGCAAGGCTAGAGCAAGAAAGAACATAAAGTTTGCAAAAGGTTTAAATAACTTCAAGTATCTGTCTTCAGATTACGTGGAGGTTTTAGTCCGATGGGAAGCAGATTTTAAGCGACACCGAAGATAAACCAAAAATGTGGTGGAGCTGCAAACCGTGTAGTGTTGCTGGGACAGAACAGGAGCTATAACCGTTGGAAAATACATCACAGACAATGCAACAAACGTGGAGACAGAACAATCACTTCTGTGATAAATGCCCACTTATTAATAAACTTCTAACAACCATGGGAAACCTCCTCTCTACATATAAAGTGATATCCAAGCATGGGAAACAAAAGACAGCATTTACCTGTTTGCATCCAGCTAGCCAAGCCTTTTTTGTGTACCAGCTACTTGTGAAGCCTCGTGTATAAATGTTGTCTTTTTCACGAGATTGCTGCGATATATTCAAATCGGGTTGGTCCGGTGCAAGGTCTTTAAGCAACAATTTATCTGCCAACTTCTCCTTTCGAAAGATT